CATTGTTCGCATCAAGGGTGCCTGTGGGGGCCTGGACAGGAGTGGGACAGATCTGAGGGTCTCTGGCAGAAGGGGTGGGACTGGGGCAAGTGCCAAGGCATGGTCCATTTCTTCATTCCTCACAAAGAGTGACACCTCCCCAGCATGCACCCAGGGGGTGGGGCCGACGTGGCAGGGGCTGGTTCCTTGCTGTTTCCAGATGGCCTTGTGGAGCTAAGACTGAATACGTTTCAGCATAGATGGCCACCACAAAATTGTACATTGGCTCCCGGCCAGCCTGGGCCAGGGCCAAGGCAGCAGGGGCCGTTCCCTCACTGTTTCCAGGATGGCTTCGCAGGCCACATGAAACCACTTTGTGGGCCACATCCGGGCCCTGGGCCTTGTGTTTGACATGTCTGATCTAGAGCCATTTGTTGTGGGGGGTGGGGAGGAGAAATCCCAATAGGACTGGTATTTTACTCACAAAAATATTCCTGGAATGATGCTAAATGATGTTGCTGGTTAATTTGGCTGCAGTTGTAAGCTGTGGAAGTTGAAAGAACAAGAGCAAGTGTCATCACTCATCACATAAGTTCTCATCCTCCCACTTTTATATTATGATGAACATCTTTTTTTCTCTCCCTGTTTCAACAGAGATATCTTTCAAGCCAAACATCTGGTTCATTGTTAATTTACAATACATTTTCTTAGAGGCCTGCAAGGCATAGATTGGCAAGATCTACAACTAGCACGTGATATAAATCTACATAAACTTAAATTATTAAACCCCCCCTTTTTGTCCTCACCCATTTTTAACCAATGGAACCAGCATCAATTCCTTCCTTCCTTCCTTCCTTCCTTCCTTCCTTCCTTCCTTCCTTCCTTCCTTCCTTCCTTCCTTTTTTTCACTTTTAAAGGACTTTGGTGTGCTGCAGGGCAGTATTCTCTGGAGAAACAGAATTTGACAACAAATGGGTAGTAAAATTTGCCAGAAATTTTGCAGGTCATTCTCTCTACACTACTTTATTCAAATTAAACCTATATTCTTAGCTCATCCTATTAACATAGGAATACTTGGATTATGAGAGAAGACTTGGATACAATACAGGCAAGGTCCATTTTTATTCCCTTGAAATATTTGAGCTGAATTCCAGAGTTGCAGTTAAACATTTCCATCAGTTCGGTTTAAGGCTGAACTTATGGAAAGCCAAAAGGGTTGGGGCGGATCTCAATTCAAGACGCTCAAGATGTTCCAGAGGGTGGGAGCCATGGTAGGAAAGGTCCTTCTGCTGGACCCTGCCAGCTGGAATTCCTTCTCCAATGGAGTCCACATCATGCCTTTTCGGCCATAACGAGTGGACTGGGCCAATCCCATTGGGATGAGATAGTTCCTGAGGTTCTTTATCTTGATATATCACCAATATAGAGTGCCATTGGTGAAAATGTGTGGTGTCATTATATTGCAGTTTTATTGTACACTTTTTGTACACGGTATACTTTTTTGTGAAGTATACTGTCTTATTGTCCAGTTCAATTAGAATGTTGGTATGGAATTGCCATTTTTGGAAGCAGTCCTGTGTTTATCTTAATCTATAGTTTGTCTTAAGCTTGAGAATTGGACAATATCCAGCACAGCATGACAACAATGACTGAAATAAAATGATTCTATTCCATGATTTGAATCTACTTCTTAACCACCACCATCACCACCACCCCGATCTGTAGAGCACTGACAAATTAAAAATCTATTCAAATTCTATTTTCTCTTCTGCTTCTGTTTTCCCAGCAGCTAAACTGTTTTGACTATGGAATTAGATCATTACTATCAAAATTATCCACTGGCTTTGGTTTTGTTCACACACCTGACAGCCCTACTGACAAAAGATGAGCCACACAGATGTCACCAAGGGCAGAATTAGGAAGCAATAGCATAACAGAGGTCTAATTAAGGGCAAGATTTGGCCGGTGGAATTCTCATTACTGAACTTAATGCACCAGTCAGAAAGAACACAGCTTGACTATCAGCAGAACTGGATTACCCTCATAGTGAGTTGGCAATTAGGAAAATATCATTATGCTTGTAAATTCAACCACTGTAATCCAGAGGAAAACAAGATAAGGCAAATACAAAGTTCCACAGTGCCATCTTACAATATCTGCCTTTCAGCAGACGCTCAAAAAGAGATATTTTAGGAGAGAGAGAAAGAAAGAAAGAAAAGGGGATCCAGCAAATTAATCTCAATGCATAAACTATTTTATTCCTAGAGCTGCTTTACTAATCCAAGGAGAATGCTCTAAGGAGGATTAGAGGGCCATGAAAGAGTGTGCCTACAAAGCATTTTCTGTTCCCTTTGTTGTTATTATAGCTACATAACTTGTTTACCTGCTACTTTTCATACAAAGAAAATCTCATCAAACTCTTAAAATCAAACAAAGCTGTAGATCTGTAAGTATTAAATAAAGTGTCAGAACTTGTGGAAATAAATAATGCATGGAACAAAAGCTATATACCTCTTGTTCAACAATGATGGTGGACGGCAGTAGTGGCTGCATCACCCAAAGAAGATGGGTCACAACAACTACTGCAGCAGACCAAATTACACAACCAACCGGTGCCTCCTGATCAGTTGTTTAAGACCGCAGTGCGCATCAACTCCATCCAGCATAATACTAGCAACGAAAAAAGGACTTTCTGACTAAAATCTCTGGAAAACTCTAGCTGCCAACTCCTGAAACAGTAAATGAAAATTGCTGACCCAGTTTCCCAAATATTATCTTTTTACCACTATTTTGAAAAAGTGATTACAACTGAGTCATGGTGTGACCAGAAGTGCCTTAAGTGCAGGTCCCTCTAATGATCTCTATAAGAATTTAAGTACCTATTGGGTGCCCTAACTTCCATGAAATTTTAAAATGTCTGACTTTTGTTTTTCCCCTAAAAAGAAACCTGAAAATACATTAACAATAAAGTGGAATGCTCATTAACATATTAAAGAGCACTATTCGTTGTTACATATATAGATTTATTTGTAGTATAGTACGATATGTTATTATTCTTACATTCTCGTTCCATTGGGCACATCTACTTTGGAGAAATCTTACTTTATCCTCACATAAATCAAATCTAGTATGATGTGCTATAACAGATAAAATGTGGAGGAAGCAGAAAAATGATGATTTGTGTTCTTTATTCACTGCTTTACTTCATACTTCTTCTCATAGCACCTTCAAGGCTAGTTAATATTTCGATCCACATGACTTTTTAGGCTAAGATAAAATATCAGTGCGTTGTAAGCTTGAATCCATTTCCCCATCCCATCCCAATTTTCAAGTTAGGGTTACCTTATTATTTCTAAGTTACTTTTCTGGAATCTAATCTTCAAAATTAGTCTATTGTAAAATGTCATGTTCCATGTTTCTTTAAGATACAGTTCTGTACTGATCTAACTGAGGTTCTACTCCAGTTAATTATGGGGGTTTATTTCCAGGCAATAGACATACAATAATACAAAACTAAAATGTCTTTGTGCATGCTTGTTCTGTGGGAGACACCATCATCTAGCTATTAAATGTTTTCAAAATATTCCTCCAGCCCATGATATGCTATTATCAGAAACATCCTGATTAAAGTATACAAAATGGAATTGCACAATTCATTTTATGCTCAGTTATATTTTTCCCACAGAATTTCAAATTTAGAGTAGGAGCCTAAATTAATTGGAGAAAAGTATATCTTTGTGGAAGCAAGAATGGAGAATCTGCAAAATATTACGCATAATAATAACATGGTAACAAAGGGAGCCATTGATTTCAAGGATTTGAATCTAAACTTACAAGAGTAAATTCACTGAAATCCAGGGGACAAATCATTACTAGCATGATCTTCAATGGATTTCTCTATATAAGAGTAAAACTGGATTCAGTATAGGTAGAACCTCTACCCTGATAGTGACATTGATAGATATTCAAATTCAAATTCTCTCTTCCTATCTCTGAACAGGCATTTGAACATGCGGTGGAAATTACAAAAATTGGGAGAAAATTGGCATGCAAGAGATGTCCAAAATAATAACCCCACTTGTTCTTTCAAAGGATTCTAGTGCTTCTTCCGGTTTCAGAAAGTGGCAACATAATCTTACCCAGTGTTGAACCTCAAGACCTTCTCCATACAAACATGTGCTTTAGCCCTTAGCTACATCCCTTTCTATAACACAGTCTCTTTATGTCTGATTACCTGTAAAAAATAAGGCAGATGCCACTCCACTTGAGCAAGTTTGTGACTGACTAATTACCTCAATCTTTTAAAGATTTATCCTTTAAAAACTAATGGATAACCTCTTAAAAAAAAACATTTTTCCTAAGCAGATTCTTCTACAATCAATAAATAATCTTTCCAGCACTAAAGTGTGGCCTGCTCTCTTGAAACAGAAACTGCACAATTGGGTCAACTGATTTAAAAAAAACAAACCAACGAGGATTGCAATAATATGTGTTAGTTTATCCAGCCATTTGCATATTCTTTCCAATGGCTGCCTTTTTGTTCCCTGTTGTTTAATGCAGCCTTTTCCTTGTCTCATAATGAATTCTCAGAGGTGTGCTAATGAACAGTAGCCATGGATAGGAACACTGAGTGTGTGTCATAACACATCTCTTCTTTTCCATTTTTTCTTCCTGTTGCACTAAACAACGGTCACTGAGAATAATTAGTTTATGCGCAGAGATCCGATTCTTTTTTGTTGGGTGGCTTGGTTGTTGGGTTTGCTTGTTTTAGCAGATCTATTGATATTTGAATTGTTTATAGATCAATACCTGCAAGGTCCTGGGTATGAAATGCTTCTGAGGTGCCATTATTCCCAGAATTGCCACAGCACTGGAAATCAACTTCCAAAGGAAACATGCTGTCAAGGGACTCCTCTTCAGCATGAAACAACTTGGATATCTCCGAAGTGTTTCAGTAATTTTTTTCCCTCTTCTTCTTTTTTTGTTTCCTGTCCCCTTCTCCTCTCCCCTCCCCCCCCCAGGATGTAATTGGAAAAGCACTGCAGTATATTGGAACATACGGAGAGCTCAGTAATACGGAACAAGTTGTGGCTCTGATTGATGGGGAAATGTGTATCAACTGTGGCAAATGCTACATGACCTGTAATGATTCTGGCTACCAGGTAAGAACACAGCTGTAATTAGCAAAAAAAAAAAAAAAGGCACTGTGAGTTGTCTTTCTGCTGCTGAGGCAGAAGGATTCCACCATCTCTTGACGGGCAGATGGGAAAAGTAGATTTACAAGATACTGGAAATTAACACTGGCACACTCCCAGGCATAGACTGCAGTAACCATGTCTGATCTATTCGCAGAGGTTGTCAATAAGGCAGGTTTCTTAGAGACTTGGGATACACAGTGCTCTCCCTGGTCTGGCTCTTCTTCTCCCCCTTTCATTTCTCTTGCGGAATATCATCTATTGCTCAGCTGCCATGTTTCTCCCAGTGTTACATGTTGCGGAATTCTGTTGAAGACAAGATACATCCAGATCGTGTAGGAGGAAAAAATTATTTTGACAGGGGCACACTAGAGAATCTATTTTAAATACATAACACTCAATTAGATTTAATTGTTTCAGTGACCCCATCAGAATCTATAGTAGACCAGGAAGCTTTGTTTGTACTAGTAGTGATCTGGTACTGAGATCTAAGCAATCTCTTTACATCCTAACTGATGATAGGATAACTCCAGTTTAATATACAGATTCATTATGAAATATATAATTTACACACAGTATATATATGCACATACAGTTTAGAGATCCATACAGAAATACAAACATATAGATGAACAAAAATTAACTTAATACAAAAGAATCCAATGTTGGATTCAAAGTTACAATTTAATATTGGACTCAACGGTAGTAATTAAAATTTCCAATGAACCTACCAAGAAGCTCAAAAGAGATGGTGTGGAGGTAAAATGTTTTAGAAACCTAATAAATAACACAAAGACTTCATTTAATAAATAATGCAAGAAGTTAATTTTATTTATTGAGTTAAACAAGATGGGATCGGATCACCATTTGCAGGCAAACAGAAATAACAATGAAACATTCAACAAAGCTGTTTAATGTTGCTGTTGTTGAACATAATGAACGTCCAAGGTTTGTTTTACCCACACAAAAAAATGTATTCTGCCTCCTTGACATAACAACAAAAATTTCTGGAGGACACAATTGAGTCTGGCAAGATAGAGTTCAGTAATTCCCATTCTTGTTGTTTTCAATAGAAATTACTGGATTCCTAGAATTTTGTAAGCTTAAAGTGATTCTTCATAAAATAATAAAGGAGATGAAATACCAGAGAACAAGCAGTACAGGTATTTTACTGTAGGTTTGAGAGGAAACCATTGTCAACTATCACCACCCTCTCCATTTCAGATATACAGTATCAACAACAGCCAAGTGTCCTACAACTGACTCCAGCTTCCTTGTATGTCCAATCACACTTGACCAATAAAATATTCTATTCTATTCTATTCTATATTCTACCCTACCTTACTACTCTACTCTACTCTACTCTACTCTACTCTACTCTATTATTATTATTACGTGCTATTCAAGCAATACATATCCTTGGGAAATAGATGAAACATGAGTTGGTTAGGGATGATTGAAAAATGGTTCTCAAATATTTCAGACTTCTGCTGGGAGTCCACACTCCATGAGCTTAGATAAGTCATACATTCATGATCCCTTACAAATTAAGCAAATATATTAAGATGGTGCTGAGAAAACCAAGGCTGGGAGGAGTGGTGCAGATACCAATCGGAACTAATAAAGAAAATCCACCTTCACATTTTGTGCATTTAACAATTGTTCTCTTTGATCTATTCCACTTGATTAAAGTGTATCATGTTTTGAGCCAAGCTAATAAAAGCTGCCTACTTTGACAAAGGGTGTGCATATTTTAAGAAATATATCATATTAGGAAGATTTGGATGGGTAGCAATCTATTTCAGTCTAGAATGTTTAGTGAAAATTAAGAAATAAATGGCCACCAAACAGGTCCTTGCCACCCTTCCTTGTTTCATCTCATCTTTATGTTTTTGCATTTACTAGTCCAGACAACCTGGTGTAGAACTGCAACTTTTCAAGGCCCCAGAGCCAATCCTCAGGAATTATGTCCAAAATACTTAGAACAGTGTTTCTCAAACTTGACAATTTTAAGGCATGTGGACTTTTTAAGGCATGTGGAAGTCCACATGCCTTAAAATTGTCAAGGTTGAGAAACACTGACTTAGAAGACGTTTCCTTTATTTGTAGATAGAAAACATTAATTTAGCAGAAATGCACTAGACGCAAAAATAATTTTTAAAGTATAAAAAAAAAGTACTAGAATTCAGCAATGTAATGGGCAATCAGGTATTAATTCTAATTTGGATATGAGTTAACTCCCAATTTTCAGAAATTGCCCTGAAACTTCTCTAGGAAGCAAGGATGCTCCCTTCCTCCCTTCCTTTTAGTGTGATTCTGTTTGTTCTGGCACAATCTCATGATTGCTGTGACATCCTTTTTGCTGTTGCATCAATTGTCCATTGTCTTTGCAAGGCAAACATTCCACACAATATCCACAAGCAACAACCACATTTTTTGTGAAGTTCATTTTTTGATTAGCAGAGATTACTGAAAAATAGAGGCATGGAACAGAACAAACTGAGGACTGATTTAGAGTAGCCTGCAACTGCCCATAGCCATCACCGCATACCTCCGCTGCAAAGGGATTGACGCTTAAGCGGAGATTGCAGATTGCTGCAGATGAGCCAATGCAAACACACACACCAAACCCCAATTGTGTGTCATGAGGAGGTGCACACCCTGCATACTGATTGGTTCTGACCTCCTGCTGGGAGGTGGGGGAAGGCACAGCACATCCAACTGGGACACATTCAAGTTCACTGACATATAAAAGGAACACCTATGCAACTATCCCTGAATGACAGATGCACATGTTCCCTCACGTGCAATGTTGGAGAAGTCTGCTCAAGCCTTCAGTCCACATAAATATTGCCAGAGAAAAGAATTTATGCAAATAAAGACACACTTTAAAAAAAAGATTTACAAAACCCTATGGAAAAACAAAACACACCAGCACTGAGTTTGTCTTGGAGAGTGCTGCTATCAAAATATCATAGCCTAATAAAAATGTACTATAATATGTTATAGTGACAGCACTGAAATAATTTAGTTTGCAACAGCAATAATGTTCAGGGGCTGTTTTATTTTAGCAATGGAATAGCACTATCATGAAAGTGGGGCCATTAGTTGCATTTTCCAGCCAAGGTCCTGAGCTGTGGGCATGGATTGCTGGAAAAGAACAATCTGTTGATTAACAGGAGTGCTCAGACTGCTGGCCACAAGGGAAGACTCAGTGGTCCATTTCAAGTATGTGTTTCACTTTGAGAGCGGGCAACGAAATTTCATTTTTGATGTGTGCCGTTGTGTCCACAGTAAAAAAATGACAATAAAAGTTATCTCTTATCTACTCTTTGTACTGTAGTTGCTTCTCTCTCATTACTCACCTTCTACATCATTCACCCAATAAATAGTGAGCCTTGAGGACTCTTTGTTAAAAAGGCTGCTTTGAAGCTTGCTTTGCATTTTGTTAATTTTTCTCTGTTCATAGTAAAGAGACAAGAGCTATGCCTGAATACCCAGCCTTCTGTTCAAACTGTTTGTGCAGTTTCTGGATTTACCTGCAGCTTCCTGGAATCAGTGTGTGGTCCAGGGTAACATGGTTAGTTTAGTAGGAAACTACTATAGGAAGCATTTAAATTGGCGCTTCCATCTTTAAGGAAGATCTATGAGCTACTTGTCCTCTCACCTTTGTCTGGAACAAACTAGGCAACTAGCCCACTGGAGCTGTTCCAACTTCACGTAAGAAGAATAAAAACTGCTGCATTGGGAAGCGCATTCCCTCTGCCTACACAAAGGCATGAAGTAAATAAGTCTTTTGAAAAGTAAACGGCAGTCCCTGGATTTACAGTAGCAGGTCAGAAAAATTGACGTAGCGTGGCTTTAGGTCTACATTAAAGATTTTGCAAGAGTTCCAGTAGGAACTTTGAAAAAATATACATTATGCAAGAAAATTCATCATTGGTAATATTGGCTCCAGTTTACAGCTTGTGGAGTTACTTACATCAGAGAGCAGAGTTAGATTTGTAGTATCTTATATAACCTACCCAGTTTAGCATAGTGGTTAACATAGCAGGCTAGAAACTAGGAGATTGTGACTTTCAGCCATGTAGGCAGAAAGCCAAGTAGGTGACCTTGGGCCAGTCACACCTTCTCAGCTCTAGGAAGCAGGTAATGGCAAAACAATTCTGAAATCTCGCCAAGAAAAATACAGAAACTTGTCCAGGCAGTTTCTAGGAGCTAACACTGACTTAAAGGCATAGCAAAAAGAAAAGGCTGCACAAGCCCTTTGAAAAAGATTTTACAATACATGCAGGAGCACAAGTAAAACATTTTTGGCTACTTAAAGCAGCTGTGTCTTCTTCAAGATTCCCGCGGCTACTCAGAAAGTATCTCTAGGCTGTTGATTCACTGATGTGTTTGCATAGGCCTTTCCCAGGCACATTGCTTGCACACGTGCAAAATATTTGCCCAGCTCAACCCTCTCATATGTGATGCTTCCCTTGAATGTTTCCCAGATATCTCCTCAGATGTCAGCTCAGGAGAAATTGAATTGATTGATGGATCTGAACAGCCGGCTAGAATTGATTTGGTTGAGACTCCAGTGGGGAAAGCTTACAGTGGCCAACGGCTAGGAAACAGGAGGAGGAACTGCCTTCTGCACCTGATCTGAGAACATGTAGGGCAGAGAAAAGACAGGAGCAGAAAAGGTCAGCCAGACTACCCAAGAGAAAAAAGCCCTGCCTGTCTTGATGGGCTGCACCAGAAGCTGATTATTTATCACAGCAGACAGATGGAGGCGTGTCTGGGAACAATGGGTTTGTTTTCTAGCTGTGTGTTTTCTGGTTGTCATGATTCTTGCCTCACTCTGGATTGACACTGTGTTTGGAATGGAATCATGCCTTGGAAACTCTGGACTTTTCTTGACCCATGAGCTCTCTTGGGTGTGGATTTAAGTTTTACCTGGTAGATTTAAGTTTGCCTAGTAAAGTTATTTGGGTGTGGATTTAAGTTTTACCTGGTAGATTTAAGTTTGCCTAGTAAAGTTATTTTGTTTCAGCAACTTTCAAGTGCCTTATGGACTATTGGGCCATTGATCTGTGGACTAACCTTGCTTTGCTCGTGGCTGGACTTGATGGGGACAGTTCTGGGTTTTTGGTGAAGGAAATTGCTGGGGAATATTAATAAATTCACTAGACCATAGTTACGTTTGTTTGTAAGTAAGCAGGGCAACATATCATAAGAAAACTCATCACTGACTGACTGACTGACTTACTTACTTACTTACTTAGTGTTGCAAATGCCTTTATATATCATATGTGTAAAATAATGACAGCAGCAATAATGAGGAAAAGGGAGGAATGGCTTTTACCACTATCCCCACCAGTGTGATATCTTTGTGTTATAATTATACCAGTAAATCAGTATGCTATGCAGGATTCACTTTTCAAAGGCACACATATTTTTATGAAAGTTGACCAACTTGTGCTGAAGCTTGATTTTGTTCGTAACTCCACTGAGTACATCAGAAGGAGAATAAGGACGAAAGGGAGAAAAGAGATTTCTATCAGAGCCCAATTTTCCTCTATATTTCAAATATTTTTAGAAAATGTGATTTTCCTAGCTATTGAAACTGTTACTGCAACTGTACCAAACAAAGATTTCTCCCAAGCACCTCAACTACAGGAAATGCAGATGCTAAAAATGGAGTTGTTTTTGACCTTTTCTGTGAGTGACATCAATGCTGTTTATTTCTGCTTTCCAGGCTATACAATTTGATCCAGAAACCCACCTGCCCACTGTTGCTGACAGTTGTACAGGCTGCACTCTGTGTCTCAGTATCTGCCCTATTATTGACTGCATCCGAATGGTTTCCAGGACAACACCTTATGAAGCAAAGAGAGGCCTGCCCTTACCAGTGATCCCCGTGTGCTGAGCAGATCAGACCAACAGTTAAAGGGATACTTCTATTTGCTTGATTCTATTGATTTGCTTTCTAATTAGTACCAGCGAGCCCAGTACATTCTAGCAAAGAGAAGGGGGAAAGAAAGAAGGGAAAAGAGAGGGGGGAGGGAGGAAGGAAGGGAGGAAAGAAGGGGAGGAGGAAAGGAAAAGGAAGGAAAAGAAACTAATACATTAATGAGAGGCCAAATAAAACTGGCTGAATTTTTCAGTTTATTTCCCATTTCTTCCCCTTTCTGATCTTCAGACACATAACAGTCAGTTTGCTGGATATGATTTGGCTTTGCCTTTTCTCAAACGCATAACTTTTTTTTTCTCTGTCTCTTTCATAAATCTGTACATGTTCTGACGATCTGAGTGATTTTTCTTCCCTCTAACAATGGAATGAAATTCAAGAAACTTTTCGTAATCATGTAAACCCTAACACATGGACAAACTTTGTTACCATGGAAACATTGGGTAATTACACATTTCATTTCCTTTTAAAACTGGTTTTAGAAGATGTAATTAACAATATAACACACAAACAAAGCATTGTATATCATGGGGGGGTTGCTTTTACAGAAAGATATAAAAAGAGGGTTAAACTGCTATTTCTGAACAATTAATCAGTTTTAATAGTGGCAGCATCTGGTGGTCTATTACTCCAGTTCTCTCTAAATTCTACTTCTCCCTAAATGCTACCTCTGACTAGGCATTAAAAATCAAATGTGCAAATACAGTGCACTTTTGTCATTTGATGTTTTCAGTTGGTAGCACAATTTTTGTTGTTGTTGTTCTGTTAATAAACTTCCAGTCCCTATCTATTAATTCTAATCTTTCAAATGTAAATATAGGACACTTTTTGTTGCATCACTGTGGGGTTGGCAAAATGAAATTATTCTTGAGGCACTAGAAGAGGACCAAAGGCAATTACTTCAAAATTTCCATAAAACAATTGTTTTCTGCCATTCATACACACGGTGCTGGGTAAAATAATGTAGTTCTACCAGCGTAGATGGATGGGCGAGGCTCAGAAGATGCAGCCTTTTTGATCACCACAGATAGTATCTGACAATAAATGGCATCTACTGGATATTTTCCAAATACAAAGTTCATTTCATTCCTGGGCTTCACTGTGCCTAAATGAAAGTTCCACAAATCTTTGGAGAAAGAATGAGTTGATGGCCCAGTAAATATATGTAAATACAAGTGCCGTCAGCACAGGATGTCTGATCAGGGCACAATGTACGATCTTTTAAAGAAACCTGTTGCTGTTTCCTATTATAAGATCCATTCCTCCCCATGATTCTCTTATTCCACAGCAAGAAGCAGCCCATCAGAATTAATGTTAATGAGGTAGAATAGGGGTTTTCAAACTTGGCCCTTTTATGACTTGTGGACTTCAACTTCCAGAATTCCTCAGCCAGCATGCCTGGCTGAGGAATTCTGGGAGTTGAAGTCTACAAGTCATAAAAGGGCCAAGTTTGAAGACTTCTGAGGTAGAAGATATTCTCACCTTAAAACATAGAATAACAGGGTGGGAAGGGATGTTGGAGGTCTTCTGGTAAAACTCTCTGCTTGAGCAGAAGACCCTCTACATTCCAGACAAATGGCTCTCGAGTCTCTTTTTGAAAACCTACAGTGATGGAGCACCCACAATTCTAAGAGACAACAACTCTGCTGTTCCACTGATTAATTGTTCTCACTATCAGTTAATTTTTCATTGGTTCTAGATTGGATCTCTCCTTAACAATCTTCCACCTGTCACTTCTTAGGGATAACCAAACATGTTATCGTGCATTGTCCAAATAGGAGTCCATCCAGGTGAAATGGACTAGTAGGTAGTTCACAAAGCCTCAGTAGCAGATAGCAGATACTTGCTACCCACCAGATAAAGAAAAATCATTACTTCTACTACAACAAGAGTGGGTTTGAAAGCATGGAAAAATCCTATCTCCTATCATGTGCGTAATGTTGGACAAAATAATGTATTTTCACACAAGAAGAAATACAGTAGAAATATGTAAACATTCTGAAACCATATTTAGTCAAATATACCAGTGCTTTAATAAATTTCTGATTACATGAAAAGATTACTACCCACATCTATATGCAAGCATTTTAAATGGCAAAATGTAAGATAAATAATTGCTAGCATATCAATGTTGTATGTTAAAAATGTGTAATAAACATTCAAAAATAGAACATGTTTGTTTACAATTAAACCAAGATAAGGATTTTCCACCATTCTGAAACAGCATATTATCATCGACTTATTTCGCATTCTCAGCTGGGTGTTTTCTTGTACTAATACTTTGCTAGCTATTTTATCCCAAAGAAGCTGCAAGAAAACCATATGTTGTTCAATATTTAAAATAGCAAATAATGTATCCATTTCTCTGTGCTCTTTGCTATCAACTGAAAATGTAAAACTTTGATTGTGCATATTAAATAATGATTGCGTTCAAATTTCAGTATATTTACATAGTTATAAATAAATCAGAATTAAAGAACATTAAACAGCTTGTTTTAAAATGTGTTTTATCTGCATTTTGCATGTTTTTTTATTTAAAAAAAAGCAAGCCAATTTGCATTTTATATGTAATAGGCTTCCAGTTCTGCAGCATTAGCACTCTCCTTTTTTGATCACTTGCTATCAAACAGTCATATATAATCCAATCATTTTATATTGATGAAGTTGGGCTTGTAACATAGAATGAAGTTCATAAGAATAAAGAAAATATTTTTCATTAACCAACTATCAAAAAGAGCTCTGTGGATTTTTAAAAATTTGATAGAGGAATTGCTGTGCACATACAACCCAATTCAAAGCATTACTATTATGCAGGAAAAGCAAAATTGGTCCTGGATTGTTTTGTGGCAGTGTTGTTCACAACTTTCCATACCACGTGTGACTGCAAAGAACTGTGGATTGTTAATCAAAGTCAGGTTTGTTGCCTGTTTCTGTTTAAAATAATTTGAAACTCTTTTATGTTGACTTTGTTTTGTTTTGTCCTTGGTTGGTTGGTTGGTTGGTTGGGGTGGTGTTGATTTTTTTGGCTATTATTTTTTTCATGTGAAATGAAATAATAACTCATAACACTAAATATTACAGACAAATAACTGTTTAAACCCTTTTGAATAAATGACTTATTAAGATCACGTGATCAAGCAATAGCATAGCAGCAGCCAGTAACACTGAAGCAGCCACAACTTCCCCAAATTTTATTTCCTTAAAAGTCATGGATCATAGATTTTGTAAATTATCCCATTTGAAGTACCTTAGTTCAAAAATGATACTCTATGGCAGGACTTTTCACCCAGTGGTACGGGTACCATCTGTGGTACCTTGGCACCTGGCAGGTGGTACGTGACCATACTAGAAAAGTGGTAGCGGGGGAGGAGAATGAGCTGAACCGGTGGCAGCACCGCACAAGCCTGAGCGAGAGATGGCTGGAGCTGCAGGGCTCTCAGGGCTCAGTGGAAGCACCAGGATCAGTGCCAGGCTCCAGCTGGAGCTCGGTGCTGATCCTGCCGTTTCTGCTGAGCCCAGAAGACGCGCCGATCAGCTGGAATGTTGCAGCCCCTCCAGGGTCTTGTGATTTACATTCAGATGCTTGGCAACTGATTCATATTTATGATGGTCACAGTGTCCCAGGGTCATGTGAAGTGACCAAAACTTGCTGCAACCACCCAGTAGACGGGGGGAATAAAAACCAAACACCCCCACCCCATCTCCGCTGCCGATCCTCAACAAAAATGCTCACAACAATGAAAACCTCGGAGAGGAGGAAGAGCACCACTGGGTGAGCAGGCAGGTGTCTTGCTTGGCTGTGGCTTGGGGGGGGCACTTTTTCAGTCCCATTGTAACTTCGAACAGTCACTAAGCAAACTGTTGTAAGTTGAGGGCTACCTATACTTCATCACTTTTTTCCTTTTTTTGGGGGGGGGTCATCACGTTTTTGACACCTTGCTAGGCGACTGGTGGTACTCAGATGTTTCCATATCCTAAAATGGTACAATGGGTGAAAAGGTTGAAAAGCCCTGCTCTGTGGTACACACCATTTTGCCCTGCTAAAAGTCATGACAACAAGAGTTGTATAAAGCAATGATTCTCAACCTTGTTGACTTTTAAGATGCTTGGACTTCAACTCTCAGAATTCCCCAGCTGGGGAGTTGAAGTCCAAGCATCTTAAAATCAACAAGGTTGAGAAACATATATAGAAGTTCTAAAAAGAATATTTGTGCTTGTGAGAGAAAGAGATGGATGACTTTCAATTCACATCATCTCTGCATAATCTTTAATCTGGTAAGTAAACAAAAACAGTTAAAAACAGTATTTTCTCAGACTGATTTGATTCACCACATAGCTGGTTTTACTGCTCAGCTTGCAAGCTATCTTACTGCTAAGAATTCCTTTAGCCCTAGCATAACTTTTAATGAAGAAAACTGCCTTCCCTTCTTCACTCAAAAAAAATCTGTCCAAATGTGGTCACTTTTAGATAAAATAACTGCCACTATTTATATAAATATATTCTGTAACTTACGTGGACCTCAAAGTATGAAGACTGGGGTCTGCAGTTTCCTGAAAATGTCTAAGTCCCAATAATATTTCTTTATTTTTTGTCTTCCGTCTTTGCCCATCATATTTGAATGACTCAGGCTGAAAAGTCTTTTCATTACATTTTCTGTAATTTTGAGTATTTTCATAGAATGAGATGGAAAAGAAGTAAATCAGTGAGAGTTCTGGCATAGACTGGTGCTTCATAGTCACACCTTGTATTTAATGAATTTAACTTCACCTTAAAATCTGATTGCCTCCATAGGAATTTTCTGAGGATACGTATGTTTTCCAGCTGAATATAAATATTTTAAAAAGCTACTTACATTATTTTTCTTTTTCATGCATTTACTGTACAAGCAACAATAACCTCAACCACAATTATTATTATAAAGCCATTTTATAATAAAGAATGTTATTTTTTTTTCTTTTCCCCCCTTATACCTTCAATAAAACTAAATGCCAATCATGACCACAACCAGGATCAATATATCCAAACCATATTAAAAAGTTGTTTCACTACTTCAGCCTTCCTTGAAGACCTCAGGAGACACCATTAAACAGGTTACCCACTAAGTGCCATTATTTTGTGTCAAAGTGCTGTAATTGTTCTAACACAGGCACATTTTGGGCAGAATTTGAAGAGTTCTTAATTCACAACCGATGTCCTTAAACTTAAAAAAAAACCTTCTAGATTTGATCACTGTATTTTTGTTTTAAATACAAGATGCATAATGCAACAATTATATCACTGCTAATTATGAATGAATCTGAAGAATTCGACGCTTTTTTGGAGAATAGTAGAGTTGGAAGGGACCTTAGAGGTCTTCTAGTCCAACATCCTGCTTGAGAAGGAGACCCTATACCATTTTGGAGAAATAATTATCCAGTCTGTTTGAAAGCCTCCAGTGATGGAGCACCCACAACTTCTGAAGGCAAGTTGTTCTACTGGTTGATTGCTCTCACTGTTAGGAAATTTCTCCTTAGTTCTAGGTTGCTTCTCTTCTTGGTTAGTTTCCATCCATTGCCTTTTGGTGCTTTGGAAAATGATACAATACGATCACAATGATATGATCCCATAACAGAATGAATTGCTGCTGGATTCAGTTGTGCCTGCTTCAGTATAAACATGTACAAACTTTTGACTGTTATGTGGTGATTTCTGAAGAGAATGGCTGACTATTTGGTAGACTCCAAAGAAGTTAAACCTCAAAATCCTATATATAGATCCGTTGTTAAATCAGTTACTCAGGTTTTGATGATGACTAAAAGAAATGCTGCCTTTTTCTCTTCGTTTATATCATTTTCAAAAACAGACAGCCAATGTACTTTTACACGTAACCTTTAACAGTTCGAGCTTTTAAAAGACACATTGTGAGCAATATTTTTGAGCAAAGATTGGCAATTTTTCTAAGCCATCTGATGCTTTCATTCCCCTCTCCAGCCCTTTTCCTTCTGCCTGTTCTTTTTAAATAGTTAAGCATGGAAAAGTGTTTTGTTTATGAACTTATATTCTATTTTGTCTTTCTGGGTGGTGGGTGAAATGAGTATAATCAAAATAATAAAATAAACCAGCAAATAAGCATGTGCCTTATCAATCAGCATAAGTGCAGAAATAATCTAGGTATTTTGTCCAAACTTAAAAGTATGAAATCCAATGAGTCACATTTGTGTTAGCTGATTGAACAGTAGGGATAAAAATCTTTCATGGTTTTGGTTTAACTATAAAACTGCATGGCAGTTTTGTGCTTCTTGCTGTGTAGATCTTTTATGTAATAGAACTAAACTGCAAAGCCAAATATATCATGATGTTAATGTTCATTGTGAAGCAATATAAGTGTTATAAGAACTATCAATAATGGCACAGAGCTACCTAAAAATACCCTAAACGTATAGGATTTCTGCACCTTCCTAGGCTCCATCCATTCCAATTATTGATATGTACTATATAGAAAATACTAGAGGGCATTGCTTAGAAAATTGCAGTTTTCTCTAACCTATCAAAGTTTCCTTGGAAATAATGTCAACTTTTAACTAATATAAAATCAAAATGAAAGAAATATAGAAAAACCAGATAATAATTACCCGGATTTACAAATGATAACATTCTTAAACTGGATTCAAATTGTTGACATTAAATTAAATTAAAATTAAATTAAATTTTAAAAATGTAGAATTAGTTCACCTGCGTGCCATCTTTAGGCAATTATAAAAGGTCTTATTATCCTTCAAAATGCTTGCTGGTAACTTTCTGGCTTCATGGGGTTTTTGTATCCTTCAAGCAGTATTCATTTTCATAAATAATTAAATAAAACAACAGCTGCAAAATATGATTTTTTTTCATCTATTTTCTCACTTTCACCTTTTATCTAGCAACCTGTCTTTAATTATCTGTGATTTGTGGGTTTTTTGGTCCTTAAAAATCTAATTTCAATCCAAAGTTGTGTTTTCAACTTTTCCTTGAGAAATAGGATCATCTTCAATGCCATATTCACAATAACTTCTTAAAAGAAAACATGGAGGACCAACTCTATAACTTTTCAAAGTGTTGTATGCCAATTAAGTTATGCTCTATAACCAGGGGACAACTTATAAGTATAATTCAATAATTAAAATGGGATCTTAGGTTTATTTTTAACAGATGAAGACAAGCTCTTATTTAAACTTGTTTGGCTTAAAAAAAAAAAACCCTACGAATATGGGATAATCCAAAATATCACAACCATCTTTAAAGAATCAGTAATCAAAATGCTGCCTTGGAATAATAAATACAAATGATGTACTTCTTGCTTCTTTGAATAATAAATATAATCCACATGTTTGTTTATATTGCATTAAAATAAATACTTAAGTGGAAGGATGCAAAAGGTGGACTTGATTTGAGCATGCAAGACTGTTTTAACACTGCAATTGGGCTTCTATGGTTTGTGATTGTTGTTGATTTGTTATTATTTATTTCAACTCAGCTTAGATGTGATTAGGAAATGGGTGCTACTGATGCAAAGCAGCTGGTCTCACGACTAAAGTGTCAGTCTTGATTCTTCTGTCCTGCTGTTGAGGTCTAGGACTGTGATTACCAACCAGTCAACTGCTCATGATGTGATAACAAAAATTATTTTGTTTATATGTTTTTGCAGCTGCAAAATATAAATTGCTTGCTTTTTTACTGGATGTATGTTTGGAAAGGCAGGCA